CACTCCATACTTTCCCACATGCATATTGCACACTTATTTTTATCATTTTCTGTCTTATGATTACAAAATTTGCAATGTATTGTCAATAATTGAAAATATACAAGAAAAAAATAGTTATAATCATAACTATCAGACAAAGGGATTAGTGCATTGCACGTACATCTAACTGATTTTGATGATTTTTCTAATTCACTTTAAATGTTTTCAGGGAATGCTTGAACCTGATCCCACATGAGATATTTTCATTTGCGAAAATTTGGCTTTTAGCAGCCCAATTTGAGATCCGACAATTGAATCTGAAGGGAGCTCGTCTAGTTTTAGGTAATGCCATTGGAAAAGCTCCTAAAGATAAGGTAAAACCTAGGTTGATAATAGAGCTTGATGAGTATTATTGCACTATGTTGATATGTTCTGACACTTTTACATGATGACAAACAGATATTTAAGAAATATATTGAGATTGAGCTGCAGCTTGGAAATATCGATCGTTGCCGAAAACTCTATGAGAAATATTTAGAGTGGTCGCCTGAGAATTGCTATGCTTGGAGCAAATATGCTGAGCTGGAGAGATCCTTGAGTGAAACTGAACGGGCCCGAGCTATTTTTGAGCTTGCTATAGCACAGCCAGCCTTGGATATGCCAGAGTTGTTGTGGAAGGTAATTTATCTGTTGTCACCATTTTAGTTGAGGAGTTCATAATTGTAATTCATGTCCTTTGTTGACTGTCAAACCTGATTTCTTCATTATGTGTTCTGAAAGTGTATTGCAGAGCCAATAATCATAAATCTACAGTGTAGAAGTGGTTATGCTTCCTTGATCCTTCATGTTCAAAATTTAGAAACAATAGATGAATGTTTAGTGATGAAAAAAAGAGCACAAGATGGATATTTGTATTTTTAAGGTGTCTTTGTTCATGTAATGGTAAGTTTTAATATTTATTTGATGGCTTGTTTGAATCTAGTCCTCTCTATGTTTTGAAGACATTTTTGTCAAACAACTTAAGCTTCCCACAGTTGATATATGCTTTCCCCATCTTTTATTTCTCACACATTAAACTTAACTGTAGCAAATCACATTTTTCTTTCAATCATATCTGTGCTTTGTTTTCTCTTTCAGACATTTACGTACTGCTTTAACTTCTTTGAAGTCATTGCTAGTTCACCACATAAAAACCTGTGCTGTTGGTAGAGAGCAGGGGTTTTGTTATTAGCCCAGGAACTTAGCTTAGGTGCAAAACCATATAACCTTTACCAATGATAAGAATTAACACTTGTTACAGTTCCTGGCTCCACCGATCCTTTTCTGTCTCCTCATTTAAGCACTGCTTTAACTGCTTTGAGTTGCTTTTGGCTGGTTTATCTCAAGTTCAATGCCATTCCTTTTACCAATCAATCTATGTGATTCCCTTTTGAATCCATTGTCGCCTTTGTTATGCTGCTGTTCACCATTTTTTGACATTACAGTGTGCCAGTGAGGTTTCCTCTTATTTTAATAATATAGTTTAATGGAAGAAATGTGAAAGTTTGTTTATAGGACATTATTTTTGGGAACTGTGTAAAGTAGGAGCATTGTTGTTATCAACCTAGAACTCTGATCTGTTTGATTTAATTACTTTTCTTGTTTAGAGAAAGTATTATCGTATATTGATTAAAGATTTGGAGGATATCATATGTACTGATGATGATGTGTTTTCCTCTGACTGCAGGCATACATTGACTTTGAAATATCTGAGGGCGAATATGATAGAACTCGAGAACTTTACAAGAGACTTTTGGATCGCACAAAGCATCTAAAAGTTTGGATCAGCTGTGCTAAATTCGAGGCATCTGCCATGGAAGAACAGAAGCTGTGTATTCAAAATGCAAGAAGTAAGGCATCCCGACCTCTTTAATCAGGTCTTATATATCTAATTAGTTAAGTTCTTACACTTTGTATTTCTCTTTAGGGGTTTTCGAGAAAGCATTAAACTACTTCAGAATGTCCGCGCCTGAACTGAAGGAAGAAAGAGCTATGCTCTTAGATGAATGGTTGGACATGGAGAAAAGTTTTGGGCAGCTAGGTGATGCTAGCCTTGTTGAGCCTAAACTGCCTAAGAAACTGAAAAAGAGAAAGCAGATTGCTTCTGAAGATGGCCTGGCTGGGTATGTAAATCACCTTATGCTTTTATCTTCTGTCATTGTTCTTTCTTTTTTAGTTATCACAATGATGCCAAAGGCAGCAGTGTTTTAATTATTGTGATTTATGTATGGTTTGTGAATGTATTGGAGGTGGTGGTTCAGATACAAGTTAGGAGCCTTACATTGTGGTTAAAGGTGTCTTTGTAAAAGTGTTTTTAGGCTGTTTGTTCTTTTTCAGGTGCTTTTTGATGTTTTTGTTTGCTGATGCCAAAAGCATTTAAAAAAAAACCCCCAAAAGCCATCATTTTGATGGTCTGTGGCCTAAGAAAGCACACTGAAAAAGTAACTTCAACTGCAATGGCCAAATGCTTTTGTTGATTGAGTTTCAATTGGATTTAGTTGGTTTTTTGAAAATTTCCAGCAGTCACTTAAATGTTGGGAGCAATACTACTGATAGAAGTCTCCTTTTAAACTGGGTGTCACATACATACATCTATACTTGAGATTGATTGTTAACATGCTCGCTTAGCTTGGCCCTTGTATCATGTCCATGAACTGATATTCCACCATTTCAATGCGACTGATTTTGGCCATTCAATTTTCTGCCTTCTCCTCCTGTTCTCCTATCAGTTTGACTAACGATGTTTTCTTGCAGGTACGAGGAATACATAGATTACGTATTTCCAGAAGAAGCTCATGCCCATAATCTCAAAATCTTGGAAAAAGCACGTGAATGGAAGAGGCAAAAGCTGGCATCCGGTGCTGAGGACTAGTGAGATCTTTTAGTTTTGTACCATTTTGTTTTTTACCTATTCTGTACATGCATTGAGTTGTATCCAAGATGCTTTTGGCACATTCGTAAAAACAAATACTTCTGCTACATATTGGATGCTAGGGTTTAGATAGGAATTATACCCGTTAGACATTCATTTCAAAATGCGTTGTCTGTGTTGACAGATTAGTAGATCCTAAGCATGTAATTGGCAAGTCCCTGTAACACAGTTTTGAAGCAAACTGCTATTTGTAGCGTGTAGTTTTGTTTCCCTGAATCAGTTAATGTTGTTCATGAACAACACCCAAATTAAAAGCTGGGAGGCTCAAAATTTTTGTCAGGCTGTTGGTTTTTTTTTCCTCTCTCTCTCTCTCTCTCGTTCTTTTCTTCATAATAATAATTTTATTACACTGTGAGGGGTTTGTGAGGGATCGCACCACTATTTAACCAATTTCTTGGTAATTTTTCCCTCTATATATCTATTGGTCTCTCTATTCAGCACACGAAATCATTGATTCTCTTAACCTATCCGGTCAGCTGCTGAATTGTTTCCTTTTATTTTCTCGTATATTATAGTAACATCATATCGTTAAAACTCAAGAAGATAGGAAAGTTTGGTGATTTCAGTTGGAAATTAGTACTTCATTCGTCTTTAATTAAATGGCTCGGAAATAAAGCATCGTGTTTATTTTAATGACAAAAAGGTGATTGATCTTAAGGCATTATAGAAACCATCTATAATCTATCTATCTATACACACCATATCTTATATCTTAACTTAATATATTATGAAAAGATTGAGGGGTCCATTAAAGATGTTAAGAACTTTTAAAATCGTTCATGTTAAGCTACTTAATGTACTTGAAAATATCCCCATCTTAATCAAAAGGTTGGATTAAAACGATTTTTGAAGATTAGCTTGTAAGATGATGATATTTACGTAAATGACAAGTATATGATCAAAATTGTATGTTCATCATCATCAAGTGGATAATGTTTAATTAAATGACAAGTATCTATTTAAATTGATAATGATTAAATAACTGTATTATTAAATTAAGCGAGATTGCTCTGATTAAGATTATGAATAATAAACATAACTTTACCTTTTTTCTATATAATTATAGCATGTTAAATAGTTTGACAGAGAGAGAAAAAGAGACTGCTTTCAGATTAACCCTTCCGTTTAAGGTCAGGAGGTACGAAGTGACTTTCCTCGTGAGGATAGCCAGAAGGGCAAAGCTCTATGTTCTATTGAAAGCTGTCTCAAAAGAGCGCATTCGATTCCTCCTTGTACATATCTGTTGGGTGCTGGAAATTTAGTTGTAATAATATAAACAAACCATCTCCTCACTGTCAGCTGGTTTGCCCGAGAGGTTAAGGGGGAAGACTTAAGATCTTCTGCACATAAGTGCGCATGGGTTCGAACCCCATAGCCAGCAATCTCTAGAAGTTAGAGCCGTTATTGCTCTAGTTGAAATTTTTATATTTTTATTTCTATATATTCGTTGGTAGATTCTGATGCGGAAGAATATTCTAGTATCTTATACCCACTACTCCGTATTTTAAACAATTAGATAAAGTCATATGATTAATTAATATATCATATTAAATCTTACATGAATTTCATTTTATTAAATCATTTATCATGAATATTATTTAATTTATGCAGATAGGATTTAGAATGGTGAATAATTCTAAGACATCTAATTGCTTGGGCTCTAAGAAATCTTGCTCCTATAACGTTTTTGACAGAAGCTGTATAATTTAATAATTGTTTTTTCACAGGTTTGTCTGAAGTATTTCCAAGCACTGATTTTCATGATACGTGCCATATCGTAAATCGATTATTTTATCTTAAAAATCAATTACTTTAAATAAATTTAAAGCCAAACAAGTTCCTTTTCTCTCATGATTTAAACAAATCATAAATTAAATTTAGCCAAAAACAATTTCAATCCGCAATTATATTTTCTAATCCGGAAAACAATATATCGCGATAGTTTGCTATTTGATGACATGGCGAGAAGTTGCGGTCCTTTTTGGGTGGTTTTATGGTAATAAAATAGAACATAGAAGGGCATGAGACTCAAAATAAGCGCCATAATGTTCTCCCCTTTCTTTCTTGTTTGTCTTCAGTCTCTTTCTTAACTACAAATAATCTCTTGTCCTACGATGGATTCAGATCTGCAGTAGAAATCCTCTTTCCTGTCTCACAGGTAAATCTCTTGTTACAGTTTCTTGCTATTTGCTTGGAGAAATTCATGTGATTGGTTCCTAAGGAGTTAAAAGGAAAAGAGAAATGTGCTATCCTTCCTTTTTCTAACGTGAGAAGAAAGGGGCAAGAACATGAAAATAATCACAACACCTAAAATCCTCAATCTTTCCATCTGGGTTCCTTGTGCATGTGTATCTTTGGATTTGATTGACTGGCACATCATCAGATTCATTTTTCTAATGATTTGCATCTCTTATTTATTTGTTTTAATGGCATAATTTTCTTCTTCTTCTGGTTATAAAAAAGAGGGCATAGCCAGCCCTCAATGGAGCGAGGAGAGTTTGAATCCATCCATGCATGCGGCCTATATTGTATTAGGCGAGGTGTTTACCATCAGACAAACCCACTTGATGAAATTAGTGCAAAATCATTGCTCCATGGATATTATTTTATCCCCTCAATATCAGCACCTGGATTCTCAAAAACTGTTAAACATCTGAATTTGTTTGCGCTTTCATGTTGTTGAAGGTCACCTTAATGAACGCTTGAATTCAATTATATAATCAACAATTGTTTGCATAAAATAATCTAGTTTATTTTTTTATTGTAGAGCTAGGTGGATCCCAGGTGTATATCTGGGGTTGGTTAAAACATAAAAATAGTTGTTTCAAAATGTCATAGAAACTGGTGGCCCCATTGTTGTCTGTGGAATTGACATTTCAGTATCTTGCTCATGCACATTCCACTCGTATACAGATGAATGAAATTCACTCTTCTGAAGACTATTGCTGGTATTGTTTTTCTTGGTGGACCATGCTTTCAAAGTCATGTGTGGATCGCAGGAAGTAGTGGATTAGAGGGAATTAAACTTATTTGGCAACGTTTTATAACCATAACTAAATATACTAAAACGGAATGGTCTTTTGAACCGTGTCAAACACAGTTTAAACACTCACAAAGCACTGTGAACCAGAGTAGTGCCATTTTAATATTTTTTTTTTCATTTTGGTCGCACTCACAAATATAAATTATCTAGTCGGATTAATTTATTATGTTCATTTCTATTACCTGGGTTGTAAATCTTATATGTTAACCTGGGTCGATATAGTTTGTCTCTGTTTTCTCATTTCACTCCCTCAGGTTTTTTTTTTTTTTTTTGCATTTTTTTTAACCAAATCATCATTTGAGTTAGGCAGCCGCCAATTTAGTTTGTCTCTATTTTTTCATTTCACTCCCTCAGGTTTTTTTTTTTCATTTTATTTTTAACCAGATCATCATTTGATTTAGGCAGCCGCCAATTTGTTGTGTGCCCACTTGATCCAACAAGTCACACCAACTTTTTTTTTTTTTGCTTTATTAATGCTTATGGTGACCAATTAATTTATTATGATACATTGGTCAAGTTCTTAATAATCATTTCAAATATTTCATCACATACAGACAAAAATAACATTATTTATATTTTTTAATACAATTATATGTTTTATATCTTACCCGCAGTGAAGCGCGAGCGGAAAGCCTACTATATGGCTATTGGCAACTGAGCTGCTGCAATCTAGGACCAGAAATTTAGATACCAATTGCGTTGATTAAGCTTCTCCAGGTTTTAAATTCAACACCCTCTTGGTTTTTTTTTTTTTAATTAATAACAAGGAACCTTGGACTCAGGACAATGAGCTTTTTAAGATTGCATACAAAACATGTTGACCTTGAATAGTGTAGGTTGAAGTTATTTAATTTTATACGCAGACCCACAAAACAAAACTTTTGAAGATTATTGTTTGAGAGTTTTTCCAATATAATGTTATTTGAAGAAGCCCTATCTTGTAACCAGAGAAACCATGCACTTTCCTGAAGTGGCCCGAAGTCCAATAAAATTGTACATTAAACTGCAATTTCATACACATTTTTTTCCTGTAGATGTTTAACCTTTGAAAATTCTGAACTGTGAATGATCTTTTCAGAAACAAAAGATCATTTAACAAGTTGCGTGCATGTTTCACTCTTCAACACATGAATACTGAGTTTCATAATAACAATCAGTTCTGTTTCTTCTATGCTTTGTATCTTTAGGATCTCCAGCTGATATGCTGCAGTTGAAAAGTGCATTAGCTCTTTAGATGCTCATTAACTTGTTTGAGGTGGCTGTAAATTCCCGCTTATAAATCAAGTGGCGTGCGGGAGGTGATGGAGTTTGTTGGTAGCCTTGGAAATCCCGAAAACATTGAACAAATGAAAGTGACTGAAGAGGTGCAGCATCTCTGATGTACAGACTCCAATTCCGTAAAATCTGCAGTGCTGCTGGTTATGACACTCAGGGATTGAGGCTGAAAGAATGCATTTTCAGTACCTATAAGCATCCAAGTTCGAGATCGAGAAAGAGACTTTCTGCTAAAACTGAATATCAGCATTTTACCAGTTATGTCGGCATTTGACTTGCTATTTGGAGTAGACTGAACAAGACAATTATGGTAAAAAAGTTGCAAATTTGAATCTCATAAGAATGGCAGAAGCTTAAGTACATTTCTTTGCATGCGCATGCCTTTACCAATACTTCAATCACTAGCTTTTCACAGATTTTTTGAGCTTTGTGTTTTCATTCCTAAAAAATGTTCACTTCCTGCTTTGAAATACTGGCGTACTTTTTATTGCCATTTGTTGAACGTTGAAATAATGAATTCCATATTTTCTTGTTATTTGCAGACATGGAACACAAAGTGGGAAAGATCTTAAAGCTTATACATAATAATGGCCAAGCCAAAAAGGGTAAGATCCTTGAAGATTCAAAGAAAAGATCGGCACTTATTGAACTTATCGAAGATTTTCACAGTACCAGTCACTCTATGCACAACATGATCATCTTAGAGCAGAGATGGGAAAGAGACTGATAGCAACAAAGAAAAAGGAAAGTTCTTCCTCTCCATCCTCTGACTCGGAGTATTATTCTCCTGATGACTGAGGGAGCAGCCCCATGATAAATATGCATCTTGAAACCACAGACGGAACTACTGGAGAACTTGATCTTTCAAACTTAGAAATTACTGGGCTGAAGCATAGATTGGCCACTGCTACTGCTGAAAATGAAGCTTTACGTACCAAATAAAGTGCAGCTTCACAAGAAGCAGGCACTGCCAATGAGCACAACAAGGAACTTTCAGCTCGTATAATGGTGCATGAGCTCCATGACACAAGCATCAGCTCACATGAAGGGGCTGGAGGAACAGTTAACTACACTTAAGACTGAGATGGATTCCTTGTACAACCTGAAAAAGGACCTCAAGGTACAGATTGAAAACAAAGCAGCTGAAGCTAAACAGCTTCAAGAGAGAGACTCACAGCTGCTTTCATGGGTTTCGGAACTTGAACTGATGTCAAAAGAGAAAGGAGACGAGATATCTACAATCCAGAAGAAAATGAAGGATAATGAGAAGAACTTCACATCTAGAATTGAAGATTTAATGACACAGGTCAATATTCTGCAACTGGAGACGGTTTCTTTACGTTCTCAGAAAGGTAAACTGGAAGAAGGTAAGCGGAAGGAAACATCAGCTCAGGCCAAGGGCTTAAAGAACCAAATTAACGTTTTCAAAAAGGAATTGGAATCCCTTCACAGTGAGAAATCTCATATGAAAATGAAAACTAATGAAGTTGCTGAAAACGTGCTTTGAACCGAAACTTTGGAAGATGAAATAGCAAGGAAGGCTATGGCTGAACAGGAACTGAAAGAGAAAGAAACCTTTCTTGTGCAGAGGCATGACCAGGGACTAGAAGCGAACTCTCTCTGAAACCAAAAGAACAGAATGGAAGAGCTGATAAGAAGTAAGAACCAAGTGGCAGATCAGTTGCGAGAAGGGGAGAGGATGCATGCTAGAATATTTGAACTAGAGGGGAACTTGCTAGATAGAGGAGGTTCCTTTTCTCCTTGTCTGAGAGAATATGAGAGCATTGTCAATGAAGCGTCTACTCAGATTATTGCCTTGAAATCAGAGGTTTTTAGTTTACAACAGGATTTGGATTCCTCGCTGAGTGAGAAGAGTTTGTTGGACAGAGAGACTAAGGCCAGACGCTAGGCAAATCCAGTTTCAGATGGAAAATGAAATCCACAATTTAACGAGCGGGATTGAAGAGCAGCAGAAAATCCTGAAAGAAGAGGGGGTTACTATTAAAAAGCTCGCTGAAGAGCCTAAAGTAGTCAAACATAATTTGCTGGAGCCCCCAAACATCGGCCACTGGAATCCCCAAGGACAAATCCTCAATCTTTAGAAAGAAAGATGGAAGAACTGGCAGAAAACTTCAATATGAAAATGGAAAATCATAACCAAATCTTGTATCAGAGGGTTTTAGTTTCAGAACAGATACATGCTGAGACCAAAGATGGCTACAAGAAGATGAAAGAGAGACTCGATCAAGAAAACATAGAGCTTAATGACAAAGCATCAGCATTTGAAGCTGTACTCAGGAAGATAAGGGAGATGTTATTGGAACCAGTAGAAGATGCATTTTCAGGAGCAGAAGCAATGCTCAAGAAACTCAACGAGGACAATGAAAATCTCTCGGACCCCATTAGCCGAATCTCAAACGAGCTTCAGTTGGATCACAGTAACAAAAGATGACATAAAAAAGCTGAAACATACTGTGGATGGTTTGAAGCTCCAACTCAAGGGCAAGGAAGAGAAGGAGCTTCTGTTAGGAGAAGAGGTAGGGAAACTAAAAGCAAAGCTGTGCAAGGAAGGGGGAGACAAGATGAATTCTGTTAGCCAGCTTGAGAGAAAGGTGGTATATTTAGAGCAGCAGGTAGGATAAGGAAGAGGTTTTGCTAGGTCTCAGTGAGGAGAAGAGGGAGGCCATAAGGCAGCTATGCATCTTGATTGATTATCATCGCGGCCGCTATGATCAAGCAATATCAAAGAAGACTGTTCATATCAAGAGAATGGCTTAGAAGAGATCTGCAGACACTTTCTTCTTTTCTTTATTAATGCTGTAATTTTGTTTCAACATTATTTCTTTCACTTTTTTTCCTTGAACAATCCATATGAGCAAATTGGTTGAGCTTTAATGTCTCGTGGAAGCTTGTAAATTTGTTCCAATATTTGTTCAATCATCTTTCTTTTGAGCCCGTCCTGCTTTTGGCTGATTTTGGAGTTGACTTGAACTCAATCCTTTTCATCTTATGGAGTTTGCAGTCCAACATTGAAATGTTAAACTAGCACAAGATATTTGACATGATCAATGAAAGTCCATCACCTATTAAAAAAAGAAAAAGGAAAAATGATTTTTTTTTTCTCAATCACTTTCAATTCGTATTCTCTCACATGTATAAAATGTCCACAATATTTTGATAATAAATTCAAGATTGATTTTGTTGTATTTAAAAAAAAAATGATAAAATTTTACTAAATTTTTTTTTATCTTTTTAAAAACAATATAGTGCTTTTTAACCATATCAAGAAAGTAAATTGAGATATTTAAATTTTTTTTATTCGTTTAATTTTTGTATTCAGAGAGATCAAAGAAAAGTAATAAAAATCTTAAACAAACTAGAAAAAAATAAAATTATTGAGCTTATAAATGATTTTTCCTAACAAAAAAACCTATTTGCATTAGCATACCCTTTAATCATCTTTTGTTGAATTTTTTTTTTAATAAATTTTAATAAATTGGTCATTAATTTAGGCACATAAAGCTACAATTAAAAAAAAAGTTTAAAAATAAAAATAAAAAGAATCCAAGTTAATGTGGATTGCTACAAAATTTTACCTAGGTGTTTTAGTATATATGTAATATGACCTATTTATGGTTTAGATTAGGAATTGAAGGTGACATCTGAGTTAAGGAAATCAAATTAAAAAACCCAGAATTTACTACCAAATTCTCCTAGTATGAGTTAACTTGAGGTAGTGATTTTTTATAGAAAAGATAAAATATAAATGTTTTTTAGAAAAGAAATTTTATAGTGTTTGAAGGGTAACTAATAATATTTTATTGAAAAAAAAAATAATAAAAAAAGAAAAAGTTTATGTTTATTTAGGATATTTTTATTATTATTTTTATATATGTTGTATTTTATTTTATTTTCTTTTCATGTGTCCATTTTTTTTAAATAAATTTTAAAAAATAATTAATAAAATATTGTTGATTACTACATGATAACCATGAAATTTGCTTTTCTAACGTGTTACGGATACTGTCACTTTTTTTCACTAAGAGGTATAACTTTTAAAGAAAATAAACAATAAATGTTCAACGAGAATAATTTAGGAAGCTGGTATAGAAAATATAGAAACAAATATTTTGTAGAGAGAAAAAAACTATAGGTGATAATTAAGAGATATAAAAAGAATATACATTACGTTATATATATATATAAAGAAATCTACACATTTAACAAAATATATAGGGTGTGAGAAAAATATTATAGAAATAGAGAGATATTGTTGTGGATTATGATAATGATTTGATGATTTTTCCTTTCATCAAATCAGACAAAAAGGCTAAGTTCAAAGATAAAACATCTTTTTTCTTCAGAGGCGATCTGTATTGGATTGTGATAGATGAATTGTTGCCAGAGATGTTTTCTTTCTCCTTTTTTTTTTCTTTTCTCTTTTTAGTTTAGAATATTTTAATATTGGTCCTCATTCTTTTGAATTTTAAATTTGTGTTCTTTTTCCTTACAGGAATATCATAATATAAGTCCTTATTCTTTTGAATTTTAAATTTATGTTTTTTTTTCTTGTTTTTTAATTTTTTTTCTTCATTATTTTTTGTCTTTTTTGCAAACTTTCAAGTTTTTTCAATTTCATTCATTGATCAAAATTTTAAATTTTTTGATTTTTTTTATATTTTATCTTCATTCTCTTGGTGATTTATTTTATAACTCTTTTGTGAATTTTTTTTTAATTTAACCCTTTATTCCAAAATTATTATCTTTTTTTTTTCAAATTTGATTTTAATTGTTTTTTTCTTGTGAATCCTTTTTTTTTTCAATTCTAGCTTTGACATTTGAGCTTTGTGGTTTTTTTTTTTCCAGATTTGATGCTTCCAAATAAATGGCCCCAGGCCATCGATTCATATCATTTTTTTACTTATTTTTTTATCTTCATTAATTGATGTTGATTTTTTTTTAAAAAAATAGTCTTCATGTTTTTTTTTTAATAAAAGAGTATCTCAATCTTTTGATCTTGTGGATTTGCTAGGTTAATTCATGTAAGCTCATACCTTTTTTTTTTTTCAATTATTGTTTTTGTGTGAATGGTTTTCTTTTTATCAATATTTGATTTATTGATAATTAGACTTATTTATTTTTCATGTCTAGCATTTCTGATCAAGAGTTGGCATCAAATTTTTTTAACTTATATTTTTCCATTTCATAATTTGATATTAGGTTTTTTCTTAAAAAAATAAACCTCGTGATTTTTTTGATATTGTTATCTTGATCTCATAGTTTGACTAATGAGTTTGGTGGGTTAACTTGAGGAGATTCAAGTTTTTTTTTTCATGCTATTGTTGTTTTTAAAAAAAAATTATATGTTTTTTTAATTCATTCATTAATATTTAACTGGTTAAAAATAATTTTTTATTTATTTTAAATTTATTATTTCTGGTTAAATAACTTGGATTACAAACTTAAAAAGGTAAACACCAAATGCCATTGCTTGTTTTATTTTTTTTATTATTAAACATTAATTTTTTTCCTTTTTTTAATACATATGCATTGACTAAACATTTTTTTCTCATTAATTTTTTACCTTGTAGCTGCTATCTAGGAATACCTCGTTAAGCATTACCGAAACATTTTTATGAAATTTGTAGAATTGATTTTCTTCTTCCTTGCTCGAAATTAAAATCCAAGTGGGCCACGTGGGCCTCAACAAGGCATGATTAGTGCATAATGTACTGTGGCTACAGAGAATAAAACCCAAAATCCAGACAAGATATACAACCAAGGGAAACAACTCTGGCAACCAAGTGGGCCTCATAACTACCAATCATTTCCTTCTGAAAAACTAAAATCTCCCGCTTTGCTCACGACAACTCACGATATTTTCACCTCCAGCAACCTCTCGGTGGCATTATCGTAATAAATAGAAAACCACAAAGGTAGTTAAATCAATAGAGAAGGCCCCGAAGATTCCATCCCTCCACGTAGTAATTGAAAAAAGCTAGAAAATGCTCTGCCGGTCGTTCTGACCCCCCCGCTCTCTCAATCTCTCTCTCCCTCTCTCTTTTCATTTTCAAATATTAGAGCGTTTCGTTTTTTCAAGTCTCATCTGAGCTGTGAATTACTGGTAATTAATTCTTGATTAAACTGCTTAATCTCACTATTTTTAGCTTGTAATTCTTGTTTGACTAAGAATTTCATCTTCTTTTTTACTTCCTTTGCTTATGTTAGTTCATCTTTTCTTGCTTTCATCTTTGTTAATTGTTTTTATCTTTTTTTTTCTTGATCAAGTTCTTGCTTTTGATAATTTGATGTTTTGAGGGTCGTTTCTAGTTGATGAGGTTAACTACTATTTAATTAGTGATTGATTAGCTCATGCTAATCGTTTCTGGCTCGCTCGCTTGTTTGGTTTCATGATTTTTAATCTTTTTATGAACTGTGTTGTTGGTTTGATTAAGAGGAATTACGTTAATGTCATGATTTTTTGAAGTTCTCGTAAAGTTCTTCAATTTTTCTTTTTTAAAGATCGATTGTATTTTTTGTTGACAATCTCTTTGGTTAATTGTTTAGTTTAATTCTTCCTCTTTTTTTTTTTAAGTTCGAATTTCGGATTTTTTTTTTGCAGGCCTAAGCGAAGCTTACTAGGGAAGATTGAAACCGAAAGCAAAGGAAATTTCGTGGTAAGTCAACATTTCTTGTAATTTTAACTTTACGTGGTTTGTAGCTTTCTATCGCGATAAAATAGTTTAAAATCTTTGAAAATTGGATATTTTTCTGATTTTAAATTGATTTTTTTATATTAGTAATGTTTTTTAAATTGGTTTTTTATATTAGTTACTATGCACCATAAATATTTCCGTGGTTATATACTGGAAATAGAAAATACCAAAAACGACTGCTCACCTTTAATAGTATTAAGCAGTCTTTTTCTGCTTTTTGAAAGAGTTCTATAAATTGGATACTTATTATTCTGGGGGTGCTTTGATTTGATTCCTTATCAGTGGTGATGAGGTGGTGCCAGATCTATAATGACATGTTTGGCTGTTTAATTATCCATTTTTTAGTTGAAAAATGATTTTTTTTTTTAAAAAAGGGGAAGTTTATTGGTGTGTTGGGTCCACAGTTTTTTTTTTTTTTTTTTTGTGTTGGGGGGTGCTCTTTTAGTGGACTTGTTATGGTGAAAGGAAGATGGGATTTTTGGAAATGGGTGGATCTGAAATTTGGTTAGCAGAGGATAATTTTATTAGCTTGGTTGTGATTGGGGAATCTAAATGTGACATGAGTTTTGTTCTGAGTTTGAATTTATCTAATGAAATGATGATGGCAGTGAATGTTTGGGGTAATTTGCTTTAATAGCCGAGTTTTAGTAGGGACCGGCCATATCCATTTTAATCCATATAACCAGCAGCTCATGCAGGTAGAGCCTTTTAGGTTTAGCAAAGCAACGATCATATTTATCAATTCAGACCGGATTGATTTTCATTTCATTAGCAAAATCTGATTCTGTATTTCGAATTTCATCAAAATTAACATCAAATCTGAACTATTATCCTGTTTTTAGGATGATGGTGAGATTTTATCGATAATGTTAGGACTTTGGATATCCAAGAGCTGCAGCCTGTCAGCAAAAGAATATTATTAGCCTAGAATAGGTCAAAGTCAATATCTTTACTGATTTATTTCACAAATACAACCTGGTGAGCGCTATTTGAATAGTTTAACAAGATCTCTAGCTTTCTGCTTGAATGCATTCATTTGTGTGGTTTTTTCTTTGAATGCCTGATCTTGCTAGCCGTTTATTGATCATTTATCTTCTTCCAGGTGAGCCGTTTCATTTAAATGCTTATACACGTTAAAACTTGGTAAAAGATGAATAAGCTGCAGGAAGCTTGTTGTATTTAATTATCTAAACCCCGATATGCAGATTTTTATAATTTTTGGCGGAAGATGAAGAATGCATTTCTGAAAGCATTGCTTGCAAGGAAAGTTGATTGAAAGTTTGAAGAGAAGATGACAAAGAAGAAGCACCATTTCCAAGAGTCATTAAAATCCCTCTTTGGAAGTCACATTGATCCGGAGAAAGATGAACAGCTAAAAGAAACTAAAACAGGTGATTTCTTTCATCAGTAATTCCGGAGGTTGTGAAATGGCATTGTGGAAACTGGAAAAACGAAAATGACCTATCTTGCAGCACGTTTTTAGTTGTCTTTACATGCTATTGTTTTGTGCCTTAAGCTTGTCCTTTCCATTGTAATCTTGGTCAATGTTTAACTGTAAAGACATTTCCTGTTCTGTAGAAATTGATGACAAGGTGAAAAGGATCTTGAAGCTTATCAAAGAGGAAGATCTTGAAGAACAAGATGGTCTCTCAGAAGAAAACTCCAAAAAAGAGCCTCTCATCGAGTTAATTGAGGATTTACAGAAACACTACCATTCGCTCTATGGACAATATGATCATCTGAAAGGAGAGCTGAGAATGAAAGTTCATGGTAAACATGGAAACGATACCTCTTCTTCATCCAGCTCAGACTCAGAATCTGATGATTCTTCTAAGCACAAAGGCAGTAAAAATGGTCGTTTGGAAAGCGAATACCAAAAGATAATAGATGGCATGAAGCAAAAACTTGAAGCTGCGAATCTAGAACTTGCTGAACTGAAGAGTAAGTTGACAGCTACAGGTGAAGAAAAGGATGCATTGAAGTTGGAACATCAAACAGGTTTGATCAAGATACAAGAAGAAGAGGAGATCATCAGAAATTTGAAGCTTGAAGTTGAAAGATCAGACACTGATAAAGCACAACTCTTGGTTGAGAATGGAGAACTGAAGCAAAAACTAGATGCAGGTGGCATGATAGAAGCTGAACTGAATCAAAGATTGGAAGAACTGAACAAAGTGAAAGATACACTGATTTTGGAGAAAGATGCTGCCATGCAAAGCAATGAAGAGAGTGAGAAGATCACAGAAGACTTAAGAACCTTAACTGATTGTTTGCAGGAGGAAAAATCTGCCACAGGGCAAGAACTAGAAGCTCTTAAAGCAGAACTTTCAATCACAAAGCAGCAGCTGGAATCTGCAGAACAGCAAGTTGCAGATTTTATCCATAATCTGAAAGTAACCAAGGAAGAGAATGACTCTCTTACCTTCAAATTATCTGAAATCTCAAATGACATGGTGCAGGCACAAAATACAATTGATGGACTCGTAGGTGAATCGGGTCAATTAAAGGAGAAATTGGATAACAGGGAAAGGGAGTATTCGTTTCTTGCAGAGATGCACGAGATACATGGAAATAAATCGTTAGATCGGATAAAGGAATTGGAAGTACAAGTAAGAGGTCTGGAACTAGAGCTGAAATCATCACAAGCCCAGAATAGAGATCTTGAGGTGCAGATTGAGAGCAAAATGGCTGAAGCAAAGCAACTGGGAGAACATAATCATGGATTAGAAGCCCGGGTTTTGGAACTTGAAATGATGTCAAAAGAGAGAGGAGATGAACTTTCTGCTCTCACAAAGAAACTTGAGGAAAATCAGAACGAATCATCTAGAACAGAGATTTTGACAGAGCAGGTCAATACTATGCTAGCAGACCTGGAATCTATACGTGCCCAGAAAGAAGAATTGGAGGAACAGATGGTAAGTAGAGCTAATGAAACATCGATTCATGTTGAGGGGCTTATGGATCAGGTCAACTTGTTACAACAGCAACTGGAGTTCCTACTCGGTCAGAAAGCTGAACTGGGAGTGCAACTCGAGAAAAAAACTCTGGAAATTTCAGAATATCTTATTCAAATAGAAAATCTGAAAGAGGAGATAGTGAGCAAGACTGCAGATCAGCAGAGATTCCTGGCAGAAAAAGAAAGTAGTAAAGCACAAATCAATGATCTGGGACTAGAGGTGGAGGCTCTATGCAACCAAAACACTGAGCTTGGTGAGCAAATAAGTACTGAAATCAAGGAGAGGGAACTATTGGGAGAGGAAATGGTTCGGTTACAGGAAAAGATCCTTGAACTGGAAAAGACACGAGCAGAGAGAGATCTCGAGTTCTCTTCTCTCCAGGATAGACAAACAATTGGAGAGAATGAAGCTTCTGCTCAGATAATGGCCTTAACAGAACAGGTCAGCAATCTGCAACAGGAATTGGATTCTTTGCGGACTGAGAAAAACCAAACGCAATCACAGTTTGAGAAGGAGAGAGTAGAATTCTCAGAAAAGCTAACCGAATTGAAAAATCAGAAATCCGAGCTCATGAGCCAGATTGCAGAGCAGCAGAGAATGCTGGATGAACAGGAGGAAGCACGCAAAAAGCTAAATGAGGAGCATAAGCAAGTTGAAGGTTGGTTTCAGGAGTGCAAGGTGAGTCTTGAAGTAGCAGAAAGGAAAGTTGAAGACATGGCAGAAGAATTCCAAAAGAATGCGGGTTCTAAAGATCAGATGGTAGAGCAGTTGGAAGAAATGATCGAGGACCTGAAGCGAGAGCTCGAAGTAAAAGGAGATGAAATTAACACTTTGGTTGAGAACGTCCGAAATATAGAAGTTAAGCTCCGGCTGTCAAACCAGAAGCTCCGCATCACAGAACAATTACTAACAGAGAATGAGGAGAGCCTTAGAAAAGCAGAAGAGAAGTATCAACAAGAGAAGAGAGTGCTCAAAGAAAGGGCTGCTATATTGTCTGGGATAATCACTGCAAATAACGAAGCTTATCACAGGATGGTTGCAGATATCTCGCAAAAAGTAAACAGTTCTTTGTTAGGACTGGATGCTTTGACCATGAAATTCGAAGAAGATTGTAACAGGTATGAGAACTGTATTTTGGTAGCGTCAAAGGAGATCCGGATTGCAAAGAATTGGTTCATGGAGACAAATAATGAAAAGGAAAAATTGAGAAAGGAAGTGGGTGATTTAGTTGTGCAGCTACAAGATACAAAAGAACGTGAATCGGCATTAAAGGAGAAGGTTGAGCAATTAGAGGTCAAGGTGAGGATGCAAGAGGCGGAGAAGGAGAATTTGACCAAAGCTGTAAACCACCTGGAGAAAAAGGCGGTAGCGCTGGAGAACATGTTGAAAGAGAAGGATGAGGGGATATCAGACCTCGGAGAAGAGAAGAGGGAAGCCATAAGGCAGCTATGCTTATGGATTGAATATCACCGAAGTCGCCATGATTATCTCAGGGAAATGCTCTCAAAGATGCCCATCAGAAGCCAGAGGGCATCTTAGGAGCCCTGGTGACATTTCTCATCCCAGCATCTTCATTTGGGGTCTTTTTTTTTTATTATTATTTTTTAAACTGCGACGAGTTACTCTTCATTACTTCATTTTAAATTTTTTCCCTTCAGAGAGTTTTGTTGATGCGATATCCTTTTGTTAGCCAGGAAGAATGTCAAAGATAGAATGCACGGGATTCATCACTTTGATTGTATAGAATTTCTGTTGCCGTTTACACTTTCAAGTAGGATTGTGGAATTTGATGAAAACGACGATTGCTCATCTTCATCTATCAAAGAACTTAAATTCGCATTTGACAGCTACAGCCCTTGTTTATGAGCAGGGAGAGCAAATCAGCAAAACCAAGGAAAGTGCCAAAACCAGATTAGTGAAATGAAGCACCAAATAACTCGCGGATATCAATTGAACAAGCTGTCACAAATAGAACTTGCTAAAATATAACTTCAACTAATCTAGTAGAAAGGCACCCGATATGCATCATTTCGACAAATAATTATTGCCATAGGAGTATGAATAAGAAATCTAGAAACTAAAGATGGGTTTAAATGGAGACAGTTGTGTATAAGACGGGAGAAATATCAACACTGGCTAAAGATTGGCTTCTAAACTTTCTTGCCCCCTCGAAGTAAGATAATCCCTAAAACTGACCCTCTAACATTACTTCCGTTTCCCTTGCAATCAAAGTAACAAAACTCTGATGATTTATTATTCTTCTCATTGCTTCAGTCAGATATCCTCATCTCAACTCCAAGAACGTCCTTCACCATCTCGTATGTCACAAATGCAATTGCTATTGAAGGGACCACCTACAAATGGAGAAAAAGAAAAGGATCTCCTTGGATGAAAATGATAAAGTAACGAAGCATTCTAAATAAAGATGATCAAAACTAAGTTTGTGCACTGACCTTCACTGAATTGGGGACCAAACCCTTGTACAATGCTCCAAATCCCTCATGGCGAACTGTTTTCCTGAAGGCATCAACCATACCAGAATATTCATGAGATGCTTTGCTCCTTCCATCACCAGTGACAACTGAAGCAGCATCCTTCCAGCCAACCATCTGCATTCTTCGTCGGATAACATCAAGAGGATAAGCCACTGTCTGGCCGACAGTCCCAGCAGCAGCCCCACAAGCAAGCCTTGTAGTCACGCCCAATTCATTGTCCTCAACTAGTCCAAATGGATTCGTTTTGAGTAACCAGTCTTTAAGAGATTCATAAACAGAAAAGTTCAGACCCACATATGGTATCTGTAAATGTCATACTTCAGCCCATTAGATGAACGACACAGATGGTTCTCTAAAAATGGCATATGTGCAGCTTGAAGAAGAACTTTTGGTTTAGTGACCTAATGAAGGAAATGAAAACCCCAACACTAATGAAATCTGGAGTATCTATGCACAAGAACATAGATTTCTATGGTGCACATGCAAATGAAAGCAATAGAAAGGGAGCCATTTACTTACAACTCCTATTACAGAAGGTAGCCAGCCTTTGTATAAAGCCCGAGGACCTTCCTCCTTAAGGACTGTCGAGAGAGCATGAGCGATTCCTCTATACTGACGAGGAGACTTGTCTGTCTGCAAGTATTCATATGGACAATCTTATGCCATTAAAATAGCAAGATACAAAGCATTTCACACATTCACAAAGATTGCATATATAGATCACAGCACCTGGACAGTTAGCCGACCACGAACCATGTCCATTGGGTAAGTTGCTGACATGGCAATAATTCCAGCACATGCACCAGCTCCAAGACGTAGAAGAGGAGTAAGCTGGGCATCATCTGCATGAAGGAAACTAATATGCAATGATTGTTGAGCTGGAAATTGATTAACCACAGTGGATATAATTTAAAAGCCAAAAAAGGCTTTGCTAAAGATAATACCAGAATTCAGTGCAACTGAATTGACGAGCATATGCTGTGTAAGTGCACACATGATAAAAACATGCAATGATGCATGAATAAACTCGACATCGCTCCCACCAAAAGGAAAATCAGGATAAGAATTCCATATAAAATAGTGATGAATAGATGGAAAATAGCAAATGGATTCCAACAGCAAAGGAACTTCACAAATACAATAGAGTAACATATAGAGGCAAATAGAGGGGCAGCCATACCATTTCCAGTTTGCTGCCTATAAAACCATAATATTCCCCTGTTTACAGGAAAAAAAGAGCAAAACACAGAAAATTTATGTAGGCAGACTTATATGTAGAAATTAATGCTGCTGGAAGCAGATAGACAAAATATCAGGGTGGAATGCCAAAACATACTTGGATGCTTCCTCATAACTGAAGAACTTGACTGCTGAGTTTGGGACAATTCTAGCACAATTAGTTCCATTGCCTTTAAACATTCCTCTCAAGCCCTCAGTTCTCCATATGTATTTCAAACCTTGAATGGTTCCATTGTATTTTATACTGTGAGGATTTTGAACCTGCATATTCCAAAAGTAAACAAATCACTCTAGTTAAACAGAGAGTCATACATGCAGAATGATAACAGAGAAAATCTTAAAATAATATTAAATTCAGTATGCAATGTAGCTGTCCATTATACAGAATGTCAGAACTAAAATGCTTAATAATAATAACAAAAACTACCTGTAGAAGTATTTTTAGTCTTTCTAAAGGAGCAACAGCTGTACGTGACCTGAAACAGATGGCACATACAATAATTTCTTCAAAGAGGAAAATGCTCAATCAAGTGTTGAGTATGCGAAACATGAAAACTCAGTTGCTAATGAACAGTGATGACAACAATTATCCATTCATATTTAGGCAGTGGTACAAATTAATCAATCTGAACATCCCCAATCACACTATGTGATCGTAACATTCTGAAAATTATCATAATTATTAGCCAATTATTCCTTATCTTCAACAGTTGCCTCCTCTATTTTCATATGGATGCCCTCGTTTTCTCATTAACTCATTTCTGTGTTGTCGCTTATTTGTGATCATTCTACATATATGCTGTTAATTCACCATCTATGACCCAAAACTCACAACCATAGACCAAAGCCAATCTAAACCTGGTTTAACAGATAAGAAAATTAACAATATACCAAAATTTCTCATTCGTAAACATAACAAATGATTGGTGATGGCAAAACCAGGTTTCATTTGCACTAGGAATTGTATAACTAAGCTATTTCTCAGTAATTTGAATGATTCCGATCAACTAACAAGTGATATCTAAATAGAAATGTTAAAATATCTAAAAATCATGGATTTCACTAACAACACAAGAACTCACACCTTAGTTATACACCTTATTTGCTACCAATATCCAACAGAGTACCAATGAACACCCAAAATTAGATTTTCACAAGCCCATCATAACATAAGGAGTCGAACCTTTACCTTTTCAAGGAAAAAGAAGAGTGAAATCTTCAAAAAAATAAAAAAGCAGGCTTTTTAAAGTATATTTTTACATATTTTAATGCAAAACCAAAAAACACTATCCTGTTTTTTACTCTTTAAGGAGGAAAAAGCAAATCGTTACAACGATGAAAAAGTCCCCTCGCTGCTAAACCCAAAAAAAACCAGTCATTTCTTTATCAAAATCTATAACAAACAACAATCTTTACTTAACAAAAAAAATAGAAAAAAATCATCAATATTATCCTAAAAATTAATAAAAATCACAATCACTTCCACAGATAAGATAAAAAGAGGTTGATTATTTACTACAATAATCAGTAAAAAATCCCAAAAAAATGAAAAGAACTCACACTCCACCGGCTACACCCCCGGCTACAAGAGACTTGCAGATACTAAGAAGAGCGGGTCCCGGTGCTTTAACGCCTTCACGAGCCAGTTTAGCCTCTTCAGCGAGATTCACAATCGTAGAAACAGCAGACTCGCTTGTTTTCACGTCCTCTGATGCCATCACCGGAACCCTAGGAAAGTGGTCAGAATTCCGGCGTTGACTGGGGAGATTATTAAGATTGATTAATTTGGGGAAGGTTTGGTTTGCTTTTGCATATGCTAACAAAGAGAGAGATGGAGGCGTCCGTTTTGCGAGAGAGAGGAGAAAGAGTTCGAAGGAAAAATGATTTTGTTCTATTTATACGTGGCCCTAACACCACGTCCTTTCATTGTTTCTTGCGTTAATGGTCCATTAGGTCCCTTTACTCTTCCTTTTATATCAACATGGTACCTTCTTTTATTTTCATATTCCCGGCATCATCACTTCCCACTGTGGTCGTTTCCGTTAAATTAAATATTTTGTTCAAAATATTTTTAAATTTTTTTAGTTTTTTAAAATTAATTTTTTTATAGTTTTAGGCTGATATCAAAAATAAATTTTAAAAAATAAAAAATATTATTTTAATACGTTTTAAAATAAAAAATATTTTGGTTTTTTTTTCATTTGTTTTCTCTTCGATTATTATTAGAGAATGTGATCTGTTACTTACAATTTATGCCACGTGGCATCATCATGAGCATGCAGGTGGTGGGATTTGACATCTTCTCTAATGTCAAGAAATGAAAGAATCTAAATGGCACGAAGATTAGGAAGTGAGGGATAAGATCAGGATAGAGAATAGACTTGAGGGACCAAAAAAGCAATCGACAGTAAGTAGGCAAAATGCATTGTTATTAACCCGTTATTTCCTGGTTCAATTACAATTACACCCCCAGTGCAGAGTGATTTTCATGACTGGATAATTTATTTAAAAAGGGGGAGAAGGGTCTTTTAAGAAGCTATGAGACCCCAAAATTAAAAACTAGAATGCCATGGTTCACTTGCAATTAGACCCCGGGTTTTATTTTTTTTAATATGGTATCGGTGAGTGGCTGAATTGGTAAAGTAGATAGATCAAAAAATATGTTTTTTATGTAATTTTTAATTTGATTTTCTCTGTTTATTAGTATATTTACAGACCGTAAAATATAAGTCGTATTTTAAAAGTCTTGTTTGGGGTGAAGGGATCTAATTTGGAAAGATTTTTTTGAAAAAAGTAATTAAATGAAAAGAAAAATAAAAAAATGGCTAATTTTATGGCTGGATGAGTTAAAAGCAACAAATAGATGGTGTATATAATTCAGGGAAAAGGGAAAAATAAAAGATGAAGCCATTTTTGGATGCTGTTTTCATCTAAAATGGAAAAGTATAGAGCGTGATAACATTTTATATCCAACTCGTGTATTTTGGTACTCCCAAAATAATCGATAAGATTGCACCAAGAAAAGGTTAGAGTTGTCATACACGACAGCTTCACCAATTTAATTAGTCAATGCCTGCATGT